GTGGTAAACTTCGACACGGCCATAGCTAGCTCCTCCGTTAACTAATCGCACTAAAGACGATCCATGAGAGCACTGCACACTGGCGTCTTCGCTATGAACGCAGTCACTGATTCCCCATCCGCGGTGGCTACATTCAGAAAGTAATAATTCGCTTCCTGAGCATGCTACGTCATCCAACCAAATGGGCCCCGAACCCTGGCCATGAGATGCGCCTCTAAAAAATTGGGTAGCCTGTGAGAAGCCAAGTTGCTTGCACACTATGTTTGCATCGTTAATATCCCAACTATCGTCGCAAACTGTCCCCCATTGACCGTTGTGAAATATCTCCACCCTTCCAGTTAATGGTGTGCCACTATTCATGAGACGGATGGCGCCATCTGTTATTGCTATTAATCGAAACAAAGAAGCAAACTAAAATATAGTAGATAACTACGAAGCGTGGATTGTAAGTATAACCAACCGTAAACGTAAAGGTTGCCTACCCGGTATACCAGTAGGCGCTTAACTCCAGTTTTTGAAGCATGAAGCGATAACAGTAACAATAACTTTATTATTAGCTGAGCTCCTTCGCGCCGAAGGCGAGCAAGCGGAGCCCCATACCTTAGAAAATTTGGTAACTTACCGATCTAACAAATTTTGGTTGTCATGTGACTATCCGTAAGTTCGTCCGTACGCCAACACCTTGAATATTCTGGGCGAGCTACTACTACCACTTTAACAGTGTTATATAGTTTAGTTAAGGTTACTTCCCACCTTCGAGGGCATAAAAAATCGGGGTTTTTTTTGTTTTTTGTTTTTTTTTTGTTTGTTTGTGTTTTTTTTCTTTTTTTTTTTTTCTTTTTTGCTTTTATTTGACAAAATTTAAATCAGTCATTTTATCTAAAGTTTACAAACGAAAAATATTAAAACAATCTCAAAAAGCGGTCGAGTTATTTAGAAAAAACGTATTTTCAAATAAAGTTAATAAGCCAGGAAGGTGTTGTGGTGGTGTGAAGGTGCCGGAAAAATTTTGCGGCAAACGCTCATCTTGGAGCTTGTATTTCATGTTATTTGTTGTTGTTTGTATCGCGCATTTGTTATTTTGCCTTTGGCTACTTTGCTCGTTTAAGTGTCGTTCTCTTCAATGTGACAGCGAGATAGAAAAGTGTTGCAATACAAAGCCTTTCCCAGTAAATCCTAGATCCATTTTCATCGACGCTAGGAGGTCCTCATTGTTGTTCCATCGGTTTGCGGTTTCATAAGGCGAGCTAGTCTCCTGGCGTGGCGCTAGTTGTTTACCAAAAATTACGAGCATAAATCTCGCATTTGATTTTGGTAGGAATACATCCACTTCGAGCGAATTTATAGGGTATGCAGATTTGACGGATTTTCGTGAAATCATTCCAGGGATAATGACAAACGAAAATGTGTCGGGAAATTTGGATTTTTAGCATATTTTCCCGTGGCGCCCATTTACGTAACACGTCTAACATATTTTTAGCTAATCCAACTTTAGATGCGGATATCTAGACAACTAATCAGAATATCGAAAAAGCCCGACACACTTGTGTTGATTGATGCCTTGTGAATAAGACTGTGCAGCCATTTTGCTCGTATGGCGGCATCCGATAGCCTATAAATTCAATAGAAGAACCCTCAGTCGTTTCATGCCTTACCGGATCCTGACACTTCCTAAAAGAAAAACTCGCTTAAATTGTATTTTTATCGTAGACTACATTT